GAGCACTATTCAACTTCCATATCCTCCCACTGTGCAGCAAACACATCCATTTCTGACAATTACTTTACGTGCAAGATTCGGGCCTCCTTTTACACGCTTGTTTTGCAAATAAACATCTTGGGTAATGCTGCAGCTGCGCAACCTGTTTGCTTTCAAACTCAGGCGCTCAGCGCGATAGCGATCAGCGCCGAGATCACCCATCGATGTGTTTAAGCCCATCTGCAAGAGTGCGAGCAGCAGGCGGTACGGCTGTCAGTCACTTTGGGATCGCAGGGTTGCTCCGGCTCTGCTAAGCCAGGCTGATGCATTGGTGCAGGAGGTGCTTGTTGTTGAGGCAAGGGGTGGCCCTGAAGGGAAGAAGCTGAAGACAAGGGCAGCAGACCCCCCCTGACACCTGGGGCTGGCAGACCATGGGTAGCAGATACCTTCATCTTCATCTAGATATCGCCCGATAGGACCCAACGTGGGGCCGCAGAGCAATGCGCAATGCTGCAAAGTGGCCACAGCACAAACCACCCTGCTCGGTACCGCCACGGCCTTGCACAGCTCTTCGGGTATGTCGCAAGAGGTGCTCTGGCCATAATTTGGTTTCGGTCTGTTTGGTACAAAGAGTGTCCCTTTTTATGCTGAAGCGTCCATGTGTGAAGTCGTTCACGCTCCCTTCTGGTCTCCAGAAGTGAAAGATTTCAACACGGCAATCACTGTCGATTGCCAGCTGCTCACCTGTGCACACCAATAGATAAAAATTAGGTGACGGTCAGTATTTCCAGTTCTGCAGTGACATAGTGACGTGCTAGGTTGAGAAAATTTAAATAAAGGTGCTGCTGATGTTATTAGCTGCAGAGCACTGATTTCAAGGCTCGCATCAGCCTGTGACTGTTGACATTAACTCCAGCACCCGGCGGCTCAGGCTCTGCCCCAGCTGCAGGAGAGGTTTACAGGATCAACAGGCGTCTGCCCTGGGGCACCCACCCGTGGGCCACCTCAGCAAGTCCTTTGTGAAAGGACTTTTTGCAGGAGAACCTCCTTTCAGGACAGTAGCCAAGACAAGCTGTGATTTGAAAGATGAGCTTCCCTGCGTCTGTCTCCTCTGTATATCAGCCAGTCCGGCGGTACCACCGCACGGCAATCGCCATAAATCCATGGAGCAGTGAGGGAACGGGCAGGGCATATGAAATAAGGGAAAATTGCGTATAGTCATTTGCTGTTTCTCTTCTGAAGGTCATTTAACTCGGGAGAAATACATGGTGACATTGCACTGGCTTGCCGGAGGAGCACACCGAATTCTGTTGTGGTGGCGGGCTGGGTTTGCCCATCCTAACGATGCTTCCAGCACATTAGTGCAGTCGCTGCTCTTCTGTATAAATCTGCTTTAGAAGCTCAAAAAGTTTGTGTTAAAATTACAAAATGTAAAAAAAAAGGAAGTAAAATAACGTAAATAATGTAAAAAAAAGTGGGAACGCCCTTGGCGAGAGGGGCTGCGGATGGCTGAAACCACTTCAGACACTGAGCTGGGTCTCAGATTCGGGGGTGCCCGGAGTCCCGGTCCTGCGTGCTTTCCTCACCCCGCACTCGAGAGGCGTGAGCTTGGCGTACAGCGGGTGAGGAACCGCAAAGCCTGTACTGACACAGCAAACCCAATCAGCCTTCCTCAGCGGCGCAGCGCGCTTCCCGCAGGAGAAGGTCACTAGCTGGAAGACTGCGCAGATAAAATCTGATCTACGTAAACCTGTCAAGACCTGTTGGCTCCTATCAGCAGGTGGTGCTTTTGCAAAACTCAGTGTTTTATTGGAAGGCCCGTTACTAAACAATGCTTTACGCGTTAGGATCGACCGTTCTCCATCGCCTACCGCTTTTGTGCACAGCTCACCGGGAGCGGGCAGCGGGGAGGAAGGTGGGCGAGCACCCTGCGGCTCCGCTTCCACCCCCAGCTCTGTCCAGGCTGTTGGAAATTGCTGTGACATTGTGTCCCGGGCAAGAGGAATCAAGGAAACGGAGAGGGGTTTTTCTGCCGAACTTTAATTCTGACTGATACAACACACATTGATTTGGTACACAAACAAGCTAGGTTTTAAGGCAATGATCTCAACACCATTTTTCCATACACTACGGTTCCCATAACAACTTGGACAGAAGTACAACATATTAAAACCAGTATTAGAAATACTACTGTAGTGGAATTTAAATACATCACATAAAAGGCATCTTTAAAGAAATGCAGCAAAGATACACCTTCCCACTCAAACAAGTAAATGGGAAATAAAAGCTTTCATTTATGCTTAAGGTCTTTGAAGTCATTTTTGAAAGTGCGTTCCTCCAGCCATGTCCCGTTACAGCAGCCATGGCTGGCAAATAGTGCTTAAACTCCTTTTCTGTAAACAAATTAAAAGCAGACATTCTTTCCCATTTTCTGATATTTAAAGTAGCTTCTTCATATTACCGCACCCAAAGATGGACAGAACTGCCTTTTTCCAAATATAAAAGTGAGTGTCCTATTTCACTAAAAAAAGGCATGGCGTAACAAAATTATTTTAAGTGAACTGAAGTGAAACCGCCCCTGACACGTAAGAACAACAAGCCCATGTCCAGTTCCTCTAGAAATGCACAAGGGTCCCTTCCCACAGCCAATTTAAGGCAATGTCACATTTGAGCCATTCTCTCATGACCACATATTTGATTGATCGTGTACAGGAAAAAACAGCACTCCCCTCTTGCCACTACAAAAAAGCTGATAAAAGGGGAATTGATTAACTCTTCCTTGCAGAACCTCTCCCTCGCTATCCCACTTAGGATCCCAGATAAGCTGTATGCTCTGTAAGTACTGCTGCTCAGAAATGTCTTGACAAAGAATGATTCAATCTAATTGTTAAGGTCATCCTGACATATTTTACCAGCGCCTGGGTTTGCTTATGTTTTTAAAAGCTAATGTACATAAACTGAACAATACAAATCCTCTGGACAGAAGAACAGGCTTTTTTTATTCCAAAATAATTTTTTTTAAAAAAAGTATGAATCCTGCAGGGCACTTTTTCAAAGAGAATAAGTAAAATTTTTATTTCACCGTGTTCCCCAAATTGCTGATTAGTAAATGAACTGGGGCTAGCAGCACCATCAACATGCAGGCACGTGCAATTGTCACGCTCAACACCGACTCAGGCACAGCGCAGCAGCTCGCGAGGGCCATGCGGCTCCCTCTGAGCATGGGGTCCCGCGGCCGGAAAGATGGTGTCAACTCGTAACTGAAAAGGGAATTTATTTCATTAAACTGAAGAAGATGATGAGTACTGATAAAAGAAAGGCAGTACCTTACAAAATGTGCCTCCGTGGTTTTAGGCTGGCTCTTGAATCAATGTTAAGACATTAGCTTTTAGGTTGCATGCGAACACCACCCAGATAAAACCAGATTTATGTAGACAGTGGCTTCTGCTGTCAGATTAATTATTTTTGTTTGACTCATACGAAGATAAGGAATTAGACAACACAGTAGCAGAACAAGAAAAGTGAGTAGCCAGTTTCTGTTTTGAGTAGTTACTTTTATAAACAAAGGAAGAGAAGTAAAAATAAAGGTTCTGTACAAGAAATACCTAGCAGATGCAGGATTAATTTGCCTTTAAGGCCCCTGAATTTGAGACTATATGGCACATACTATATGGTGTACAACTATATGATATATTGTATTTTATTGTATTTGCATCTAATTTCACCCAAGAGGCCACAAAACAGGAGATATTAGAGGCTGTTATCTACAAAATGGTGAAGAAAATGAGACAAAAACGTAGCCCTTTTAAAAATAAACTTTAGATGTGAGACAAACGGATTAGAACTCAGTTTTCTAATAAAACCTGAAAGTTACCTGGGGGAAAGATCTGACTGATGCACACACTTCTACCCACCTCTTTCAGTTCACTTTATTTAAAAAATTCCCAAAGCTGTTATATCTCTCAAATTTGTCTTTTTGGAGCAAAGAAAAAAGAAACTATTTTGGGGTACTATTTTGGCCACTTTGTAGGACATTTTAGTAATGAAGAAGTTTTGAGTGGCATGCCCATTACTTAAAAATCATTTGATGTTCCTTTTCTTCCTCGACATGTGCTTTTCCAAATAAAACAACTCATATGGAAAGAGTATTTTTGGCGTTGTAAACCTTTGCCATTAATCTACAAGAAGAAGAACATTTACTGTCTCTTACAACCTGTTTATCACTCTCTCCATCTGCTCAAAGTAGTTTTATAGTGTGCTTTGCAAACAGCAATTCTTGTTATGCCTGGGTATTTCACAGGCTGCTATTTAAAAAAATATCATAGATTTCTCACTTGTGCTGTTTGTTCCAATGCTACATCCTCCTCAGCAGATGAGCTTACTTTAGCATCCATGCAGAATGAGTATTTATCAGGACAAACCCATGTGTCATGAGACTCGTGCTACCTTCAGTTCTCGAAAGAGATGATGTACCATTGTTGCTACAACACAACCTTTTCAGTTTTAAGCCACTGACATCCAAATTAAGTCTCCTAATTTGGTCTTCCTTTAATTCCTATATTTTTTGCCCCTTTCTCCCCCTGTCCCTTCAAAAAAAAAAACCAGGAACTCTCTGAAGTAGATAATCTTAGTATTACAATATATATAGGAGTGGGTCTCTTCAGTAATTTAATCTGTTGAACCTGTTCCAAGTGTCCCCTGATAGGAAAACCACTTTTTCTACCTTAACCCACGAAAATTCTCTTCAAACTCTATTTTAGGCACAGGAAACGTCATGTTCTGCAGCTCAGTTATGAATGGCAATAACAACAAAATGTAGAAACAAACCCAATTCCGTCTTCCATATTTGAGAATTTTTGACACATTGGATAAATAAGTGTTTGGCACTGTAAGTCCACTCATTAATACCATTTTCAGCTATTTATGCAGCTGCTAACATGTTACAGATACCCCTATTCACAGTAAATTTTAAGAGTACTTGTTGGCAAAAGTAGTTTCCATGCAAATGGATCGATGCTCCTTCATGCTGTTGTCCGTCGGATTTCCTCTGACAAGGTGATTGATCTCTCTTTCCACTCATTGTTAGAGCACTTGGAGACAGCATTGGCTGCTTGACAGAACTTCTGGAGGAGGATCTTTCTGAGTAGCAGGTAAACCCATGGATCCAGTATCTGGTTTAGTGAGGCCAAACGCACAGCTGTCAAGAAGAAATTGCATTCTTTGTGCAGTTCTGAGCTTGGGGCTTCACCGGAGAATCCCTTGCAGCGTTCAAACGATGTGTGGCTGAAGATCATCTTCAACATCGTTATCTAAGGAAAGTTAGGAGGAGAAAGTGATATATGTTAGGAGACTGTTATCTGTGTATCACTATATGCAAATATCCCTAAAGACAAAATCCTGTCAAGTTTTTTTCCTCCCTCACCCAATTAAAACTGTGATCAGAACAAATAAGCATTGAGAGAGCAGCTCAGTTTGTGTGTGTGTGTAAAATGAGTGATAAACATCATACCTTTCAGCTATCAGTCAGACTGACTTACAGATCTCATGCTAAACCAAGGCAGCACATGCTGCTTCCCTGCTTGAGACACAACAGAAAGCTGTGTGCTAAATCCTAGAGGTTCAAGATGGCCTTGGCTAGGAAGGGAAATTACTGACCTTGCAAAATTGACTTAAAGGGATTCATTTTATCATTATCATATTATCACAATTACAAGGAAGAGCTGAATAACTCATGATGAGTAGAGCTCTTTGAAATCATGTTATGAACAGTAAAAGTCAGGAAAAAAGAATTTCAAATACAAAAATGTCTTCTTATTTTAAAGCTAAGATGTTTTATTCTATGACTTCTAAATTTCAGAATTTGATTTTAAGGCAAACAATTCTGATTATGAACTGAGCCAAATTAAAAGTATTAATAAAGGTGTTTTGGGCTAGGAGTCAAGAAAACATTTTAAGTCAAAAGAAAAAAAAAATCTTTTTCTTTTGTCAAAAGCCACAGACTAAATTTTGCATTAACCTGACCTGTATTTCCTCCTTTCCCCCCTCAGTTCTTCTCCCCCAGTGATTATATGATATATTTAGGAATCTGTTTCCTACAGCATCCAAACTGGCATGACTGAGAGGCACTATTTACACTGCAAAATGTTTCACACAAGTAGAAGTTTCCGTAACTGATGTCTCCCATACCTCACAGCACAGATCAGCAAGCTCTGGCCTGGGAGCCAAAAGCAACAAGCCGGTTGATTCTGGGGGGATTAAATGCCATCAGGCATGGCAGCATCTCGATTTGCAATACTAGTTATGCAGCATAGGGCTATGGGGGTCCTGCCAGGTATTACATGCATGGCACATGTCAGAACATAAGCACTGGTCAGCAATAGTCACTCATTTATTCTGAAAAGCCAAAGAAGAGGCAGCTTTGATTAATACTTTCACCCCAAAATCTGTACTTTAAGGTAATTTTATGACTCGTATTTCAACGTGTCAGCGAAGATATCTGCTGTTGGTAGGGTACAGGCAGCAGAGAGGATCCATTTTTCTTACGGGTTGCCAGAAGGCTTACAATCTTTAAAAGACTTATAAACTGAAGACTGCACTATAATGATTCAATCAAGTAAAATAACTATACTTTGTACAAGTAAAATAACTATACTTTGTGCATCCTCATTTCCCAAATTAAGACGTCAACTTGTTATCAGGCTGCGGCTTATTCAGGTAAAAATGGTGAGAAGCTTTTTTTGTTTGGGTTTTTTTTAAAGCTGGTGAGAGAGCTCACCAGAGCTGGCGTTGTTATGCTCTCACATACTAATACATAACCATGGGAAATATGAATCACATTTTGAGAGATGTCAGATAGATATAATTTTCTATGGTTTAGTCAGTGCCAGTGAAGTTTTCTGTACCAGCTACAGCTGCTTAAAAATATATCACTTCAGAGGCTTTTAGTTGCCTCTCTACAGATAAGCTACATTAGATTTTGTACTGCGATGTTTCTTCCAGGAGCCCATAAACACGGGGATCGAAATGGCTTCTGAGCGGGCGCTTGCCATGCAACTCGCTGCCAAACGACGTGTGTGTCAGCTGTATAATGGGGAAAATAGCCGTGCTCTTACACCTGGCTGTGATGCACAACGAAGCTTTAGAGCAAGGAAAAAAGCAGAGCTGATGTGAGGACGGGGCATGCTTCCCAGTGTACGTCAGGTAACAAGCTGGGTACCGGCTCCTACCACGGACCGAAGTGTGGCAGTGCCAAGTGACCTGATGCTTGGGAAGCCAGGGGTAGGGCCCATGTGCCGCGCTCCGTGCTCCGAGGACAGCGCTACTGAACACCTAACTTTTCCTCGACAGGTCCCTTCTTTGCGCGCAAAGCTCTCCTGGCCATGACTGGAAGACTTTTGACTGTCAGAATTTACTGTCTGGAAATCCTGTGGAACTGAGATGCAGTAGGTCTGCACATTTTGATATGTCTACTGTGTATGTCAAGGAGATGGATACCCATGCACAACGGCTCTGATGCACACCTAATTCACTGTCTTTGCAAAGGTGGGGTGTACCATACACTAAATAAACTGGCAGCCAGTCCTGAAAACGCAGGGAACAGCCCGAGGGACAAGACTCGCAGTCAGTCATTCACATCATCGTGACTTCAGCCTTTTGAAAGAACCAAGACAATCCGCACCAGCAGCACCGCAAGCCGAGTGATCCCAGCCAAGGTTTTCCCACAGAAGGCTGTCTTCAGAGAGGAGTGTCACCCAGAAAGGTCACATCTGGACTGCTGCTGTCCCCATAAACTGGGACAGTCAGAGCGAGAGTGACCAGGAGCAGAGGCTACGGGGGAGGATTTTTCCATTCAAAGGGATATTCTGGGTGCCAGATCAATAACCATGTGTTGACCTTGGAAAGACTTAGATGACTTTGGAAGGCAGGGCAGCTCGGACAGCAAAGTAGAATTGTTTTTGTTTCTTTAAATAGAAGCAGTTGAGGATTCCATCTACTACATTTAATTTAAATAAAAGTGAAAATAAGTAGCCATTGGTAGAGCTTTTTAAAAATACAGAGAGATACAGACCCGGAACACATCAAACCGCCACTTGCGCACCAGACCCACACAATGGCAATCCTAACACTTTCTCTGCCACCTCCGTCTGTTTAGGACACTGTCGCTGTCACAGCTCGGTCCACGCTGCCTGCAGTATCTGCCTCCTGTGCCCACCAGAGTCCAGCACAACCCACTTCCTGACGGGGACCGCAGCATTACTATCCCATAAAGAGTAGCAGTAGAGAGTATGTAAATATGCTGTGCCCACGTTACAGCCAACGGAAACCACACCACATTTGTCATTCCCAGTATTCAGATTACTTTCTCCCAGATCAGATCTTCTAGCTCTTCCTTTGGGAACTCTGCAATGACCCTTGTTTTGCAGACCTTGTTGTCTTGCTCTTTTGTTAGTGAACCCATGGAGCTACAAAAATATCAGGCCAATAAAATACATTTCCCAAGAAGACAACTGCTGCTTATTTTTGGTGTTATTACGTAATATTCCTTTACTGGAATACTTGTTGGACCAACAATTGCTCTACTGGAAATTTTATTTGTTTGATATCCTTAGAGGTTGTTTATCATGGCCTCTACTGGTCTTCTAAATGAATTAAAAGAAAGACTGCAAAAGGTAGAGGAACAACATCAGGTGGAATAAAGTCAATGGAACTACACAATTTATGCAAATAACAAATTTGGCTCAAAATGCATATAATAATATAGCTGATAATTGTATTTATTCAATCTGAGTAGATATAACTTTGCTGTTATCACTGGATGTAGTTTTATAATAACATTAAACCTCCACTGCTCTGGTTTTCAAACTTAGAACAAAGACAAGATGCATTTTGTGAGATATCTTTACAGCGTTTTGAATAAAGTTGGATTGTAGTACACAAGAACTTTTCGCGGTTGTTTCATGGGCTCCCCAGCTGGCAACCATCACTGTGATATATTGCCACCAGCTTAACTTTACATCGGCAGTCTGTGTTACCTCAGGGAGTCCCAGGCAGCTTACTATTAAATTGCAATAAGTTTAGAATGAACTTCCATTGTAGTTAGGGGGAAAAAATAGGAAAAAAAAAAGAGACAAAAACTTTCCCAAAGATATTTTTCCAGTTTTAGAAACTATGTTGGAAACTGCTGCTATCTGCAGTAAAAGATGGAGAATAAAACAGTTGATGTGCTTAAAGGGGCACATTTTTCAGCCAAGCACAAGCCGAGTAGCTGGTCTGGAATGCAGGGTAAGAATCTGATGGGAAATTCCTGGTCCCAAACTGCAAAATCTTTTCTTGAGATAGCTTCCAAAAAAACCCCCATGTTTTCTATGCATCATGAAGACAGGAGGATTCATCCTCTTACACTGTTTCTCCTCTCCCATTAGCCCTAACCTGTTGCTTAAACAATTCTCTCACACATAAAGAAGCAAGCCGTGGGAGGAAGAGAGGGTTCTCCTGATGAGATACAAATAGCAGCTGTCGTGAGTAAACCATGGAAAGCCACGATGGACAGGGTATGATTTTCCCTTGTGGTGACTAACAATACCTATAGTCATGTACCATCTTGTTTTAAAACCAAAATTGTAATTTTGTTTCATTAAATTTTTAGTACTCTTCTGCTGCCTCTGCTGAAGCTGAGGCAGAATGAAAGACTTTAGTTTGAGCAGGCCAACTGCCAAGACAGACTCTGCCTGTGGACCCTTGAAAGAGAACTTCCCATTGCCTAGCATGGACATGGATTTCTTTTTTGAAGTAGAAATACTGCCTGTCGCAGGCAAAGCTAAGACACGTCCAGCCAAGTAGACTACAGAAGGGCATGTTTGGCATCCACACCACTCTAACCTCGGTTCACCCCTCACTGTAGCTGCTCATCCATCAGATTGACAGTAACCCAGAAAGGATCTAAGTTATATGGCATCTGATGACCTATCTTTATTAGCAACCTTCTTGCAGGAGGGCAACCCAACACCTCCCAGTGTGCCCGGACCACAGACGTACCAACATGTCCTGGGAAGAACTGCTTCTCGGAGCCGGCTCCGCGTTGAGGCCGTGCTGCTTTCTGTGGGGCAGCACCGCACAGCTGGCATGAGCAACCTCAAGCAAATCACTTCTTTGTTTCTCAGAAACATGTGATAGTGAAATCATTTACAATCCTCTTGGAGAATTACTGGAGGAGGCTGAGGATTTTCATAAGAACATGTTTGCAGGATAGTGATGCAGGGAATCGTGACAAGGTCCCACCAAAGTCTAGCGGGATTCCAACAAATGTGCTCTAATTTCTACCATTCGGTTGTGACCTCACCTAGACAAATACAGTCCAGGAAAATCCAGTCTTTTGGCCAAACTGAAATGATCAGTACGCTGGGGCAGTTTTGAAACAGGTGGCTATTTCAGCCTCAGGTGGAAGTGGAGCATTAGCGAGAAGAGTTACTGACTCATAGAAAAGGAGACATCTAGTTTCCTTGCAGCTCAGGGATATCGCTGTCTTTTTTTCTCTCTAAGTAAACGTGCTTTCCATAACTATGTTTTGCACATCTAAAAATATTACAAAATAATATATTTTTAATAAAAATACCTGTAAAGGAGAATGTATTTAATTTCTGTCTGACAGGAGGGTTAAGGAGAAGAAGTATTTTAAAAGGAAAAGCAGCAGAATACTTGAGCATTTTGGCTTTAAATAGTCTTGAAACAACTCTGTGAGTGAATAGTTTTGTAGCCTGGAGCTCTAAAAGAATTATTATGAGAATTCCAGTCTGTACTGCACCAATGTTTCTGTGCAATCAAAGAATAGCTTCCTCTGTTTTACCTCAGACTCACTTCAATCTGCTGTCAGCTTAGGTCAATGGTTATGCTCCACAGTTGAGCACCAAAATAAATAGATTAGCATGAACTGGAAACCGCTTACAATAAAGCAGTATCTTACTTAAGTGGAGTGTTTTCCCAGGTTCTCCATACTGAATTCAAGTCAGAACCTGAGTGCACGACAAAAGGAGACAACGCCTGCATTATATATGCACTTCTACTCTTCTACCAAATCCAGCACAAATCAAGAGAAGACGGGACACTTCATTAAGCTGTTAAGAGCATAGCCACTATCATCAGAAGTTTCACTTTTCTGTTTAATCACATTTGATTTTGTCATTTTCATCAACAGATCAAGTCTAAAAATACTGTCTGGGTAAAAGGGCATTGTTTACCTAATAGAAATAGTTGTCAGAATGCGTTAATTCTCAGTTCTAAAACTCAGACTTCTTTTTTCAAAAAAACAAAAATCTCATCTGAAAATCCCTGGATTCCTGTTTCAACTAAATTTCTTACAACTGCCAAATGATGCAGCTATAGGTTAAATGAGTTCTACTATCTGGCTTTCACTGAAAATGCACTTGCATTACCCCAGGGTCACTCTTCCTAAAATCTGGCCTCTTATTCCTAAATCGCACTTTGTAGTTGTACAGAAAAAGTTGAAGTGTATGTATAAAAATGCTTCTGTGGTCATGACTCTTGTTTTTGACAATATGAAGACTGGAGAATATGCTGACTAGACAGAGAAATTTTGCAGAACTCCACAGAACAAGTGATATGCTTTCACATGTTGCTGCCGCACTGTTTACAAATTCACTCTGGCTTACGGCTGTGTCACCCAGTGGGGCAGCAGTCCTCCACATGATCGTAAAACACACACAAAGCATTGCCAACCAGTAGCTCTTCAACTGGCCCTGCCTTTGACTCGGAGCATCAGGCTCCTCGCCAAGGAGTCAGTTCACCTTCCACGGCCAAAACTCCGAGAAGCCTTGCTCTCTCTTACCAGCTCCCTGAGCGTTTTCTGGAGGTCTCAGCATTGTTTACAACAGGCTTTCTGACCCAGGCTCTGCTCTGTTAACTCATCCCAGTAACACTTCCCACAGATCCATTCAGTAGAGCAGGGGGCAGCTGTATCGATTTGACTTCTGGCTGTTAAACCTGCAAAAATGCCACAGGAAGCAAACCACCAAGGGGAATCCCTGCATCCTCACTGATTTTTCCGAGTACTCAGGTTCTGAAGGAAGAGAAAAAGTGTCCCTCATCTCGGGGATTTTCTCTCGATGCTACAAGGCTGGTTAAACCCTCAGGTGCAACAGCTCCATGGCCCCCATGGAGCTGGTCGGGGGAGCAGCATGGGTCCTGCCGGCTTGGCTGCAGAGGGCAGAACCTGCGCCCAACGGAAAGGCTACAAAAGCAAGGGCTGAGAAGCAAACATACTTCCTTCATTTAATAAATGCCTTCTAATTTTTTCACGTTTAATTATGGACAAGCGTGCAACAGTTAACTTCTGTAAAATAAAGAAATCCTAGTGTCTCCCCTTGGGACTCAACTGGAGACGTCAGCGGGACGGCAGGATGTGCCACAGCGATGTTAATGGCTAGCCAAGGTGGCTGGGACTGCGGGCAATCAATGCACGGAGACACGGGAACAGTGACGGGGCAGTCTCCTGGTTTAACTTACCAAATCTAACGTTCCTTGGCGTTTGAGGAGCAGAACGTTATTCTCTGCTCTCAAGTTCTCACTAAATTTTCAGTGTGGTTTCATATTTTACTTTTGTCACAAGCTGTTAATGATCTCCAGAAAGCTAACTTACAGCCTCTGATTTATTTTGGGGCTGGGTTATTTTGGAGATTTGATGGATTTTAATTAATTTACAAGGATAACATTACTAAATTAATTTGTTTTCTATTTTTACCTCATCCCCATCAGCCGTTAGCTTTGTCAGCCATTCCTCTTGTCACACCCCCATTTACGAGAGCTCAAGTTCTCTGTGCACAGAGGGAAGAAAAATCCTTCTCCAGCCAAAAAGCACCTTTCACAAAACTTCAAAATCACCATAGCTAGCTTCAGCCCTTTCCTGCTTATGGATCCCAAGTACAAACTTTCCAAAAATCATTCTATCTTCTGACAGCAGAATACGCTGGCCTTTTTAGATGGGGTAGTGCCCTTGTCCCACATGGCAGAAGGAGATGTGGATTCAGCCTCCTCCACTTCTACATCATGAGGAGGGGTTTACCCCAGTTTGACAAGAAAGAAAGGGCCTAAGTGAGGAATGACAAAATGGTAGAAAGAAATGCAAGGGTCCTTTAAAAAGCCAGAAACAAAACCCCTAGAATGCTGCCGTAAATACGGTACAGCGAGCAATCTGCTGAAAACCAGAAGGCACTCGCGAAGCCTCAAGTCATACCTTTCCTCATAAAGCACTGAAGTAAGTTTTGCTGCAAGGTGGGGGCAAGTAAAAACCCGTAAAGGGCTGTCTCCCATGAGCAGAGGGCTCCATCACAGCAGGGTCTCGATAAACTTCCTCGCAGGTTCCCCCACACAAGGAACAAGCAGGTTCTGGTTCCCCTTGTCCCCTCCGGTGCTGTCGAGCAGGTACGCCGTGCCGGGCAGGAGCAGAGCGCGCCCTCCCTGCCGCTGGAGCCCGCAGCCGGCCCCAGCTGCTCCCGCTCCCCCCTCCATCTGCCCGTGGCTCCGTGCCACGAGCAGCGCCGACTCCAGCCTCCCGCTCCCAGACCCAGGGTCTCCTCGCGTCCTGCCCTTCCCCTCTGTACAAGACCCTCGTTGTCCTCAGGGTCCCTCCTTACGACTCCAGTTCCTCCGCCTTTATTTTTTCCAACTGTGCTGCGCTTGGGCTACCCTCTCCCAGCCTTCTCTCCTACCGGCTTTCCACACCCGACACCCCCCAGGCTCCGTCCCTGTCCCTGCCTTCTCTCCTCAGAGGCCGCTCACGGCCATACTGCCCGTGAGGAACCTCAACCACCGCAGCCTCCCACCCTGCCCAGGCCGGCGGCTCTCTCTCCGGGGGGGACCATCCTGCCTCCTGCCCGAAGGGAGGGAGGGAGGAAGCCTGGGGGGCGGCAAGGCGACCTACCAGCAGCGGTGACCAGCAGGCCGAAAGGACACACATGATCCCCAAGAGCTGGATCAGTGTCTCCGTGGCGATTCGCCCCCACTGCTTGCTGGAGCGGGACGCGGTCGCTTTGGTCCGACAACGAGACACCAAGGCCTCGATGGTGGCCAGGTTGCAGGCCACCGTCACCACGAGGGAGAGGAGCCCCAGGACGGCGAAGGTGGAGGCGAAGAAGAGGCTGCCGGTGAGCTGGCTGTCGCCGGTGCCGATGAAGCACCAGGTGCCGGGCCACTGCAGCGTGTACTGGCCCAGGCCGGCGACGGGCAGGAGGGCGAAGGCGAAGACGGCCAGCCAGATGCCGAGCAGCACCGCCTTCGTCACCCGCGTCTTCATGTGGCTGGCGTACCAGTGGGGCGCCCGGATGGCCAGCGTCCTCTCCACGGCCATGGCGCTGGCGATGAAGAGCGGGCAGAGGCCGAAGAAGGTCATGCTGAAGCCGAAGAAGGCGCAGAGGTGGCCCGAGGGGTCGACGGCGTCCCAGGCGCGGTCGGACAAGTAGACGGAGATGACGATGGGGCTGGTCAGCAGCTGCCCCAGCAGGTCGGTGAGCGCCAGGGAGCCGATGCACAGCAGGAAGGATCGCTTCCGCCGGCTCTCCTTGGCCCGGTAGCTGCGGGAGACCAGCAGCATGGCCAGGGCATTGCCCACGACGCCGGTGATCATCATGGTCAGCGGGAACGCCACCGAGACGGCGCTGCAGCCCTCCGCCGCCCGCCCCGTCCCGTTGTCCCGCTGCCCCATGGCGCCGGCCTCGGTGCCGTTGGGCTCGTCCCGGCACTGCGGCCAGCGGCGCATCCCGGCGGACTACGGCGGCGG